AAGAAAGAGCCACATGCACCACCTCCAACTATACCGTTTCCATTAAGTTTTTCGCCAACATTTCCCCTTTTATTACGTACTCTATTCGAACACAGAGAAAAGCGAGACGAAACTGAAATGCATCGCGGACCCACCACCACCACCCACTCACGGCCAGGGACCGCGGAAGCTGTGGGGACATAACGTTGTAGGATAGAGGAGGCAGGGGCTTTTTAAGATGGGGACATCGAACAACCGTGGGACATTGTCCCCACACTTCCGCGGCCACTGCTCACGGCACAGCTCCAACTTCCACCGCACCAAGTCGTATAAGAAGATTTCCAGAGTTTTGTTTGCTGATGCGAAGGGTGCTGGCTGGCGGAGAGAGCGAGAGGAACAATAGTTTTAGAAACTATCTGTCTCAATAAATAAATGGATGGGAGGAGGAGGAAAATCAAGGGGAACGGTGGAAATTCAAACCCGTACGTAATAAATGACGACGACGACCCCCACCACCCAACGGCCGCCGACCAGCTTGTGGACTTTCTCACAAACAAATAAGTCATTGAGTCAACTTTTCAGTTCTCTCTGCTGCTGCTCAGAGTTTGTTTTAATAGACAAAGTTAAGTTCTCCAGCTCTCTCTGGTTGGTCGACACTTGATTAAGCAGAAGGAATAAGGAGAATTCTGAGCTATTTAGGTGCATGAACGTCAAAACTCATAATTCACTAACAGAAGAAGAACGCTACTGCCCTCGCACAGGCCTCATCCTGGTAACGAGAAGGAGAGAGAAGGAAAAATACATAGATTCATAATACAAACATATTGCAGACATGAAATTCCAGACCAATTATGCACCCAAAAAGTCGGCGCATGTTCTAAATTCTAAAGCGGGGAGCGAGCACTTTATTACATTTCGGAGACGACTCTACTAATAACAGAGACATGTTTTTCACTCTTACCACTCAAAATTTTGTCAACTTTCTCTCCTCAAAACAAGTCCACATGTATCTCCTCCTCCTCCTCCTTGGCCGCCCTTCCCGATGCGTAAGAATAATAATAACTTTGTCAAAAGAGTGTGTGTATCCGTAATAACTTGGCTTCCTCTCTCTCTCTCTCTTTGCCTTTCTCGGGGTGGTGATGAGGACGAGCAATTATGCCGAGTTAGATAAAACAGAGAGAAGAACACCACCAGTCACCACGGCTGGCTTGGTGTAATTTAATCCCACCCGACGACGACGAGGACGACCTCAGCCTTTGCTTTGTCAACCCAAAGTGTTTCTCAAGAGAAATATCACGGAGAGTTTTAGTTTAGTTTAGTTTAGAGATACCAACCACGGGCAGAAAGCGGCTCGGGTGCTGCTGCTTATTTGCTTTACTTGGCGTGAGACTCTGAGAGAGAGATCTCTCTCTCTCTCTTAACAACTTTGCCTCTTCTTCTTCTGGTGAGTGAGAGAGAGAGAGAGAGGGAGAAAGTCACATTAATGAATAATGAAGGATGGGGAACAAATAAAGCAATTAGATCCTCGTTAAAGTTGGAGGTCTAATTTGTACGATATTAATTTCCTCATCAGCTGCCCTGCCAAACGAGAACACCCGTCGGCGTCACATTTGATTTGAGTCGTGCATACATACCCGAGCAGCTGCTGCTGATGACGACTCGTGTCACTTTCATCCCATTTCACACGTCATTTCAATCATGACCCCTGAAGTAGGAGGACTGGATCCCATCGCATAGTTTGCATTATTAGTCGCCCCACCTATTCGAGGAGGACGACACGGTGGAAATAATGAGCAGCCCCGCCGTGTAAATAGAATCACTGCCTGCACCACCCACAAACTCATCAAGCCCACAGCCGGATAATCAGCAAGCATATCGCATCGCAACTTTTCCCCGTGGACTAAATAGACTCGTCACTTCCTTTTACTTTCTTCGTGTGCCCACTTTTCCACAAAAACCCTGCCAAACAAACCCTGATCAATCATACTTGACGAGTGGAGAGAGCGAGATGCATTTCCCCAGCCAAGATTTTGTGGCCGGATTGAAGCCTTTGAGTAGAAATCAGGAGAAGACCTCGCTGGTTGGTTTTTTGGCCGAGAAAAGGCTGAGTGAGTCCTATAATGGGGTGATGTATGGTGAAGGTGAAGTATATCCTGTCCCGAAAAAGTGAGAGCATTTTGGTTCAGGTTCACTTAAGTCAACGGCATCACGAACCACCCTTCTGTCCAGAAGACAGACGAGAGACGATATCTTTCTCGGGAGGTTCTCACCCATGCATACATACATAGAATGCCCGATCCCGGGTATTACACACAAGTGGGCACTGTTATTACCGCCATACTGGTAGGACGAGGAGGAGGAGTGAAACAAACACCGAGTTAGAAATTGTATTAAAGAGGCATCCAAAACGTGTAGCGATAAATCCGGTTAAATCGGAGGAATATATCAGTCCAGGAGAGAGAGAGAGTGAGAGAAAGAGACGGATCCCCCAGCAGAATTTATGACCACAATTTCGCTAATGGAAAACACTTTCCATTCCTGTCACGACATACAACAATACAACAAGCAGACCCGACCAGCCAGCATTATGCCCACACCGAGAGAGAGGAACAACTACATGGAGGAGAATCGGACAGGGGACAAGACCCCGCAGCCCGTTGACACCACGAAGGAAACCAGGAAGGAAGAAATGCAATGCACCCATTCTCAGTCTCCCCCACCGCTCACTTACTTATCACTACTCCATCTTCTTCTTCAGGGTACATACTCCATCCAACGACCATTATATTCTCCTCGGCGTCTTCTTATTAGCCTATTTCTCTTGTTAAATTGAAAGAATAAAAGACAACCGAGTGAGGAGAGCGATCATGGCCAGAGACCAACCACTCGATTCTCTCCACTTTTTTCCCTATGTACACAATTGATGTCGAATTCTGTCAACAATTATAGTGCCACTTGTCCTCTCTTCCCCTCCCTCCCTCGCTCCCTCACAAAACAAGATCCCCCCAGCCACATTTTCTTACAGGGAAAAGAACCCGCTTCCCCGCACCCACCACGGTCACCACCCACTCCTGCAGGAAAAGAGAGATATCAAACAAGCCAATTTCTGGTCTGGTTTTCTGGGAGCCTGGCATTTATCTATCTGCTCTCTCCTCCTTATGAACGCATCTCACTTTGACAAACCAAACGGAAATCCTACTGCTTTTACGTGAGCTCCATCCTTATTACGCCACCACCACCACCACCCCACCTTCAATATGGTGAACACAAATCAAATCTCATCTTTCTCTCTCTCGCTCGTTCCTCCTCGGGACACAAATTCCTTTATCTATTCTCTGTGATGATTCTCCAACCGTGCATTCCAACGCTTGCCTTCCTCTCGCCTGTGTCACGCCATTTTTCGCCAATGTGCAAACAAATTAACCTTTGAATGCTCGTTGTTAATTTTGCCACCCCTTTTATAGATCCATCTCCATCTCCCTCACTCGGCTACCTCCATCACCACGAAACCCATCCAGATTCATTTCATGTCAGGGTAAATATTTAAATTGGAGAAGAGCAGCTACCCACACACACACACTGTTTTGTCGAATTCATTAAATTATGCAGGCCAGGCCTCAAGTGGAAACAATCTGCCGTGTCTCTCTCTCAAGGGTGTGAAAGATGGCTGGTTGTTGGTGGGTCGACTCGTCATCGTCAACATCATCAACGTCTCGTCGTCCTAGACCACGAGACGATGACGGACTCGTCATATCTCGCCAAGTGTCAGGTTTGCTGGCCGTGTGTGTGTGCAGCACCGTGTAGCACGTCAAGTGTTATCTTAACGCTAAGCGATGACACATTTCCCACCCTGGTTATAACGGGAAATGACATGCAAACTGACAAATCCTCCTTCTCGTCGACTTAAAAAAAGGGCATGCGAGAGAAACACGATGTTAGATTGATGGATGGATGGCTAATTATTTTGAAAAGGAGGAAATACACCATGTCTGGTAACTGAGATCTTTAAATGAATGTTTATTCCTTGTCAAACAGCAGACCAGCGTAAAAAGTAAGTAAAAACGTGTAAAAAAAGGAGACGATGAACAAGAAATTTTCCTCCCTGCAAACTTTGCCAGACAAATCCCATCACATTTCCAATCTTGAACCAAATCCAATCCAGCCGAGTGAGTGAGTGGTGGCTGAGCCAGTAAATAAATGGTGTAGGGGCTAATAATATGAAGGGAAAGCATGAGAGCACGAGGCTACAAACGCCATAAAGTCAACGGGCTGTGCTGCTGGCGTCTCGGTGTTACGATAATCAGGAATGCAACCACATAGCCAGGTATGTATTCATGCCAGCACACAGTTGAAAATCAGAATCAAGGATTCATCTCCTCCTCTAAAATCTAAAGCTTGCTGTCGTAAGTAGAGTTGAAGTTGAAGCACTTTCTGGGAATCAGAGATTCGAAAACCAAGCTCAAAATCAAGTACAAGAAGAACCCAGGAGCACCAATCATTTCGCACTAAATGCAATTTATTTCCTTTTACTCTCCCTTTGTGGGTGAATTATTGTCGAGGTTTTCTTCCTCCTCACATGTGCAGCCTCATGGCTAAATAATAAATAAACCCGCATTCACATTTGCATCTCATCCTTCCACGAAGACGAAGAGAAGAGAGGGGACATAAAAACGCAAAATCTAGGAATAACTATACATGCATATACACGTCCCATTGTACTTTGTGCACACCTCGCGGATCTCTGTGTGCACAGTGCTCTTCATCTATTCTTGAACTTTTATGTCATCGTCACCACTATCTCGTCTCTGACTTTGACTTTGTCTCTCTTTTTCTTCTTGGGAAGAAGAAATAGCGCACAATAAGATTGACCGACCGTGGTGGTGATCATAACCGTGCTGGTTACGTAACGGGGACAACAAAAGTTCCCCTTCCTTCCTCGTGCATGCATGCCTACTACAAGTCTCGAGGTGGTGGGTGGGTGGGTGTCGTGTCGTAATGAAAGTAATTATTTGGCAACTTACTGGAATGCTGATTTGTCATGTTCTGTCAATTTGTTGCCGTGTTGGTGTGTAAGTCTCTTTGTTCCCTCGGAGCAGCAGCAACATTTCTGGGTAGAATTGTAGAATGAAGTCGATCCAATAATAATAATTCTTGGTACTCGAGACCTGATGCTGCTGATTGTGTGTGCTTGTTTGTGTCGTGGTGGTCGTAGTTCGAGAAATAAATACAAAAGTTGAGAGCTCGAGAATGATGATGTTTCAGCGTTCGTTCACTTCTTCGTCTTCTTCTTGACGACGTATATACTTCCTTCTCCACGGTGAACTGAACGAGCGATCACGACCAGGCAGCAACAACAACAACAGTAATCAACCAAACTATTAACAACTATTCTTCTTCCTCCTCCTCCTCTTCTGGTGATAATTTACTCCTCGGAAATATTTATACACGTCCACGTCCAATCACCAGCAGAACAATCCATCCAACTAAACCAGGAGAGAGAGAGAGAAAATGATGACGGAGAATTTAGTAATAATATTGCTCTATTGTCTATTGTGAAATTGGGTCCGTTCTTGTGTTCTATTGTATTATTTTATTTATCGTGTAGCCGACCGAAATTCCATTCCGCGCACAACTTTTATTCAAATTAGATTCCCGACTTGTTTTCTTCTCCAAATGGCCTCACTGTTAAATTCACATGAGTCGCAGACCAGCCAGACCACCAATTTAATTAAGCAGGAGCAACCTGTCGTCCCCACTTTAGCAAATCATCATCATCATAAAGTGGTGGTGGTGGTGGTGGTGGGGTGACAACAATTAGTAAATCTCTACCCATTAAAGAGCAATTTGCCAGAACAATAAGCCCCCTTATAATACTTCTACCTTATGTAAACTTACTCTTATTGTGACAAAGGTAGTAACCCTATTAGTGAGTGAGTAATACAATAATAAACTGTCTGTAGGGAAAAAGTGTCCACATGGATTTATCTCGCTCCGTAGGCAGGTAAGCACAGGAGGATAACGAAATCTGGGGTGATCGACAGTTATGGCTTATTACATTAGCCGAGTCGTCCATCAAAGTTATTATTTTCCATTCCAGGAAGACAGCAGGAAGTCAGGAATCTTGTGTGCACAAAGCCCCAAATGGACACAACCTTATTGCCCCCACTATTTATTTATATTCGGAGAAGAAAAAGCCGTCTCTGTCTCTCTCTCTTTTATCTTTAATGCCATTAACTTTCTCGGCACACTGACTCTTTGGCCCGATGAGATTGAGAGTTTCTTTATTACGTCCAATCACACATGACGACACGGGGAATGTCTTTGTCTTGAGTCACACACGTAATAATTTGCACACATTCGTCTGATTGGATGAGGGAACGAAGGAATGCAAATCTGGAGAAGCACAATTCTTTACTGATTACTACGACTCGGCCTGATTGGATAGTTTCCCTCTCCTCTTGATTTCGCCCTCAATACGTATGTATGAATAGATTGGAATTTCAGATTTGAATGAATCTCTCTCTTCATTTGTAGCCTCAATAATACAATCAAATTAGTGAATCAGCATCCGCACTGACTAGCGAACGAACGAGTGAGTGGACTGAATTTGGGAAAATTGAGAGAGCACCAGGTCTCAAACTAGCAGAAGAGTGGAGGAAACTGAACAGCACTGAGGACCAAGTGAGACTGGGGTCTGGCTGGGTTTCTCGCTCCGTGTCTTTCTCCTCACCAGCAGCTAAATTGTGTCGGTCGGGGAAAGCAGATTCCCACCACTTGCTCACTCACTCTCGAACCATTTCCACCCCATGAGCAGAGAGAGCACAAAACAAAACACAAAGGCAAAAGCAAACCTACATGCGAGGAACACAAACAAATAAATAAATCCATAAGCACAACTCGCTGGTGGTTCAAATGGTTCGAATTTTATTTATTTCGTGAATTCTATTTTTTCTCTCAGGAAGGCAAGGACCTACACGATTTCAATTGGGTCTACACGCGCCATGAAGAGATGGTCGCATCCCGTGTCGAATCAGTTTCCTATGGCACTTGTGATTTCGGTACCCAGTCCATGAATACAATGACCACTAATGCAATCCTCTATGTCGAAGGGTGACCCTCGGATTTTTTTCCGAAAGGCAGAGAGATACACACATCTAATAATAAATTGTCATTCTTAGCGCGCGGCGTTTAACCGACCGACCATGATGATAATAATACCACGACCAACCATCAACTCTCTGTCACACTTCCGCTTACTTCCTCGTCGCGTTTTTTCCCTCTGTTATCATGCAATCATGCTGGTCAAAAAATTTTCTGAGGACTAGTTTCATATTGGAGAGAGAGACGAAAATGAATGTCGCACATGAGATGTCGGTGACATGTTTCGCTCTCTGGCTGGCTGGTCTGGTCTCTCTCCCATTTTTCTTCCCTACTTGTCCATCACACATTCTTCACGAGGAGAGAAAACGGCTGGAAACCAAGTCCCCTGCCAAATATGAGAACCTTCTCGTACAGCAAGTTTACAGTTTCGTTCGAGATTGCTGTTGCAACTGCCTCTGACAAGGAGAACACCATATTGTATTTTTATAAAAAAAAATACTACGACGACGACGGATTTGAATCGATTTTCACATATGTATACGTAAGAAGAAGAAGGTTTGAAAATCAGGAGGAGCTGGTTGCAGCGACAGCAGGAGTCTCACAAATTCTATAACTTTCTTCGCCTATGTGGAGGGAGGAAGAACCCAAATGTTATGTGCACGATAGTTTGACTCGATTGGAGTGAACATTGTGCAAAGTGCTGTTAAACACGAATCAAGTAGTTGCAAAGTAGTAGTCACTACTACTCTCTCTCTCTCTCTGGCAAGTTAAGTGTTGGCCTTAAGACCAAGAGAAAGTGAGAGAGAGAAGAATCCCAGCAAGTGAAGTAGAGTCGAACTGATTTTCCAAATTCCAATTCAACACGGAAAATCGACTCGGTCAATGGCACAGTTGAGATTTGGTGAACTCAGGCAAACTTTACCCTCATACTTACATACACACACACTTTCTCCAACAGTTCCTCCCAACACGACACGACATGTTGAACGAGGGCAACTTCTTCTTTGCAGAATTTGAAATATCAAAATCGATTCGAAACAACAAAATGGTCTTTCTCCATTTCATAGGAGGACAATTGTGTAACAAGCACAAGGGAGAGCAGGGCGAGAGAGAGATAGAAAAGCTATTAGCGCTCAATGTTACATCACAGATCTGCTGCTCTCCTCCCCGTCATGTAATCAATCTAGTCGTACAGACATACCTTGGTAGACACGTCTTGGGAAACTTCACCTCTCATTGAGCAAGGATCACAGGGAATTGAGAAGCGAAAAAATTTAAATTCATGGAAGCAACCCATTTAAATTTGCCTTGTGTGTGAAGTAAGAAAAAAACCGGGGCGGAATCAAAACAGGGATAAAAAAAAGTCAGGTGGAAGAAGTGAGGGAGAGAAGAAAGTGGGTGAAACTTGGAGACGATTATGCCAACGCTTTCCCCTCCGCCGTCGTGTTATCTCTCCATCTCCTCCAGTTTCCTTCTTTCTTCTCCTTCACGAGTCGTCTTTATCTGGTTTGGTTTTGCGTTGCGTTGCGTTGCATGATGATATCTTCAGGTTGGGATGATGGGTAATGTGCAATTATCTGGTTCAATTACCACCACCAAAAGCTAGGTCCCATTATTCTCGTCTGAAAACTACTACCCGGAGAAAAGTGGAATTTGAAATAGTGCTCAATGAGCTGGAACCCATTATAATGGAATATCGTGCTCCTTACGAGATGACTGACACGCAACGACCAATAACTAAGTGAGGAGGAGCTACTTCTTCTCCTCCGTAGGCACGAATATGTTGGAAATTGTTCTAATTTTGCTGCTCCAGATGGGAGACAGACAGACTGGGATTGAGCAAAAGTAGGAATGAATCTGAGCGGGTATAAATTGAGTTAACATAACACGACTTCTACGACAAGGAGGAGGACGGCGTCGCTGCATAATTGCATCACACGAGTCGTCGAGATGATTTCAGAGGAACAATTTAAAACACTTTTAGCTCGGCTCCATTTGCTAAGTAATGTAAGGCAAGATGGGCCCGAGTAGTGATCCATCTTGGGTCCCATTCCGTTATTAAATCCAAAATTGTACTACGACGTACTAGGAAACCATGTGTACTAAATCAGAGAGGGTGAAGTATAACATTTAGTCGAATCAATTCCAAGTCCTAATTCTATAATCCTATTCATCGCCTCTCTCTCTCTCTCTGATCGAAATAGGGTTGCATTTCCAAATAAAGGTTCTCCATCCGGATTCAAATCTGGACGCTGGAACGATATCCAATCCAATCTAAACCTCACCTCCCCAGCCGTCCTTGCCTTGCTAAGCAAATTCTCTTTTATTTAATCTGCAAAGTAAATTTGTGGATTCTCGACCCACTCATCGATTCCACTCGCCAGGTATTACATGAGCATGTACATCCATACATACCTCCTTCACCCCGTGTACCGCAAAGTTATATCGCATTACTTACTGCTGCATGGGAATCTCGGAAACTTTCACATGAAGGGAAAGCCAGCAGAGCAAACTCTTTCTGGGCGTGGGACGTTCTCCAACTTGTAACTCAACAGCAGCAGGAGCAGAGGCAGTAGTTGGGAACAGTTAGCAATTCGAGAGAACAAGTTTTCCCTGATTTGCCACAATTTGAGTCTACCATAGCATCCAATCCAGCATGACTTACAGCCCTGATTTGCTTTTCCCTTCTTCATCCGGAGGAGTACAGGAAACCCTTGCGGGCCATAGATTGTGTCAGCATGGGAGACGACGAGGACGACGTAAATAGGAATAATCTCACCAAGCGTGTCGGTCAATGGGTGATTTGGCAGAAAAAAGTGGGCCTTTGGCTGACAAGAATCTCTCTCACCGGTGCCTATTCAGTCATCCCCGTATCGCTTACTTGATCCGTCCATGTCCTCCTCCTTATCCGTCATCCTGTTATGATCACGTTCTTATGCAGAATGTGATCTGGGCCAGGAACGAGACGTAATCATTCATGATGGAGTGAATAATGAAAATTCTGCTCCGAGACAATTCTGGACTTTCTCCCAAACCGGGAGAGACTACGCAAAAGGCTTCCAAATAGCAAGCAAAGTAAAGTAATACATACATGGAGAGAGAAATCCACCATTTCACGCATCACCGTCCCTACAAGAACTTTCCGAGTGGGGGAACAGCACCAGAAACGAAACCAAGTAGTTGTACAAGTAAGAAGACTGCGACTAGTTGGTCGTTCATGGGACTCGACGAGATTTCATTGACTTTGGTAGTTTAGTTCTACAAGAAAATACATACATGCGATACAATAATCGACCACCAAGCCGAATAAAACTGCTCCTTTTCCTACTACTTGAGCAGTATTCTGAATTACTGCCGCCTTACAAAGTAAAAAAACGAGGGA